GGACGATCATTACAGTAAATTGGAAGCTTTTACCCAATTATCTACTTAATGAAGTCTCTTTGTGCTAGCATGGCCTCTTATTGAAACCCTCCTTGTCGCGCTACTAGAAATCTGGAATGTAGACCAGCTTTCATCAAATTTTCTACTCGCATCTTTTAATTGAGTGAACTTCTCATCCTCCAATATGTATCAGTTCTGAAACTTAGGAGGTCCGAAAAAACAAAAAGAAGAGACAACAAGAGAAGAAAGTAATCCTCCTTCCATTACTGAAGAAACTTTCCTTTCTTCAAGATAGTGTGAGCCAAGCTCAAAGAACTGAAAGCATTTTCCTTAGCCAAGAAGAAATGTGTCCTCTCCTAGCATCTGTTTTATGCAGTTGACATTGAATAGACTGTCAGCATCTGTTTGTGAAGAGTCTCTGCTTTCTCCAAAGTGGTATAACTGAAAAGATGCACTCTTGGTAGAAAACAGTTCTCTCCAAGTGTCTATTCTCCAAAGTTGGCAATGAATAGTCTAATAGTTTGGCTGTCTCTCTGCAAAAGTTACACTATACAACTTTCTAAGATCCATATGCTATATATCACATCACCACAGCATCAAACACTAAGTTTGGTAGCTTATGGATGTGCTGAGAAAGATTAAAGACTATATGTTGGTTGGAATTGGGAGTAGGCTTAGATTGCAACTGAGGCTAAGATTTACAATCATTGTTAATCTTAGGCAATGTAGATACTCGACATTTACCTCGAAAAAAGATTACACATGTTATCATAAAAATGATTGCAACTTCAATGCTTCCTTTTCATAATGTATCTTTACAAATGATCATGTAGGATGTGAACTTGAAGTCAAGATCTGGCAATGGTGAAATCAACATGGGAACATGAAATGCACAGTCCCTTATCATTTTTGAGGCAGCTTCCTTTTTTGCTTGTTCTAATCAAATCAGTCTTTTTTTTGTCAATCTCACAAAAAAAGAACTGAGCTCAGGAGCTGTCCCAACTCTCTTGGCAAATCCCTACCTACAAAGTTCACTTGGGGTGAGTTGGGACTTGGCTAGTCTCATCTTCCATCCACCTACCACCTCCATTGTTCATAACCTGCAGCCATTTCAAGTTTCCAAGTCTCCTACTTGTATTGAAAATACAGTTCCTCATCTAATGCTTGGTTGTTGGATGCATGGTTAAAGAAGCACATGCAACATGTGAACCAAACATAGAGTACATGCATTTGTAATATATGAATAAACCATCATAAATATGTATTTTTAGGATAGAATGTTGAAGGTATCAAAAGTTTTTAGAAAGCATGTGCAACAAATGTCTTCCACTATCAAACTTACAAGACAATGGGCACAGGAAACAACATTTGGGGTGGTTAGATATGAACTTAAGTTTAAGATTGATGGGAGATGTTCCTTCAAACATCTCCTATCAATAAAACTGTGTATATTGATCCTTCTTGCTTCTCTCTAGACTTGAATTTTAGGGAAGATTTTATGAGTATATCATGTGAAGATAATATTAAATACCTATTATCATAGAAATAAATATAATATGTCAATATCATCTTAATATAAAAAATTATATGTTTAGAAGGCAGCATCAACCAATTCATTTGGTCTTTCATGCCATGAGATATAACAAAATTGGTTAGTATTATGTCACACTCTAAATTATTAGAGGAGTTATGAATATAACAGTTTAACTCCTATTGAATATAACATTTGAAATTTGACTCTTCTTAATCAAGACTCATTTAAAATGATATGTTTAAGAAATCTATGGGCATAGTAGTCAAAAGAGGTAAAATGATAAATATTAGTAGTACGAGGAGAAATAAAGAAAGACCTAAAAGGATCTTAATGAAAATTATTAATAAAGATTTAAATACTTTAAGTTTAACTAAATATATGACTTTTTAACTGATTTCAAATAGTTGAGACTTGAAGTTTTATTATTGTTGTTGTTATATAAAATTTTAAGACTTATATTAGTAATTTAAATTAGATGAACACGCCAACTAATTTGGATAGTACACTATAAATAAATGTAATGGTATGTATTATCATATTATTAATTTTTTACAATTATATATATATTTCTTGGTCTTCTTTCCTAAATACTCTCTTTCATCATCTTCCTATTATTTTTTGTTTATATTTGTTTTTGACAGTATAGGTTTCTAAAAATATTAAATATTTTTTCGTTAAAAAAATAGGTTAATAATTTTGATTAGAACATGACAAACTTCCATTAGTATTATAAGAAATTATTTGCCATAGTTATTTTTATACAATTGTCCCCAATATAAATCCTTGATGTATTGGCATCAACATGACATTCTGTATGACATATTTTGTATCATTGGAAAAAACATTTGATTGATTATTTTGAATCTTGAATTGGCTAATCAGTAACTATAATGATTTTTAGAATTTTAAAATAAATTATAGTGATGTCAGTATAATCAATCAGTCGATTAATATTTTTAGAAAACATCCATTTGGATGACCAAAAAATAATTCATACATCAGTATCACTCCATCAAGAATTTATGGCATATATAAGTCCCTACAATATTATTAGTTAAAAATCTATATAATTTTAAAATTTAAAATACCTTTATTTTTTATCCATTTTTTACATTTTTCACCGCACTTTTCGGTCTTAAAAAGAAACAATTACTTTAACAATTACATCAGATATACAAAGAGAATCAAAGATTTGATGTCATCATAGAAGAAGCTCACAAAAGAGCCACATAAACTCATGAACATTAATAATGTCAATTGGAAGTTCAAAATCATTAAAATATTAACTATAATAATTTTTAGAATCTTAAAATACAACATGAATGTGCCAAATTTAAAGAAATTAAAGGGGTAAGTATATAAATAATTAAAAACACTCCATTCTTTCATCACCATCAGTAAGTCGAATCCCTGAAGCTGATCTGACCATATATTGCCCCTCTCTCATATTGTATTTGATCATATCAATTTGATGTGATGGGCATCGGATTAATGTTTCAATATATATATATATATATTGTCAACCAATGAATAAAATACATAGCTGACCAATGAATTGAAGTTTAATTAATCGACATCATCGCATCTCAATCTTTTGGGACATTTGGTACTTTGACCAACCGACCAATATGAACTCTCTCTTTCTTCCTCTCCTTTCCATCCATCGTTTTACTATCAATCTAGAATTCCATAGCCACATCATGACAATGAAGAGAGAGTTGTTTTCTTTAATGAGAATATTAAAATATTGTTTGATTTCTTGGACAATGTTTTAAGTCACGGATATTGACACCATTTCACTGTCATATGGTTCCACATAAACATCAAAGCATCACAATTTACTCCACTTTCAAACACCTAATTTAACCCCATTCTAGTATGACATGAATTCAAATATAAATATTTTTCTTTTGTCATAATATTTCACATTAATTGAGTGATCATAAATGCTGGATGTTTTAGGAAGCACAAAATAAGAGTGGATCCTTTGATTGGAACTCTTCAAATTATACTGATTCAACTGTTGCCTTCCAGAAATCCACTTCTCAGTAGAAAATGATGGTGAAATTTAATTACTTATTGAATATATATATATATATATATATATATTTTTACTAGACAAGAAGGTCAAATTTATGCAGTTCTATGCAAGTAGATAAACTATTTCCATGATCCTTTGATTTTGTTATTTTTTACAAATCCAGTTATTAATGCTATTTCAGTATTTATAATTGCTAGTGATTTAGTAAATATGATTCATTACAACTCTTTTCGCTGGCAATATTAGAAAAAATAATGTTTAAAACCGAAGGAAATTAATTCCTGTTAAACATGTCATGTTAATACGAGTTAGATGGAATATTATTCTTATTTCAGAAACACTCTCTTCAGAGTTCTAAAACTTTATTTGCGATCGATCTAGTTTGAGCATTGGCATGCTCCCATGCTAGTTTTATAGTAATGTTCGTGACACGAAGGGCTCGAGAGAGGAGTATCGACATAATCGGATATTTCGTTCTACCGAAGAAAAGCGGCCAAGTCAAATTGAATTGTTCCCATTAATGAAGCTATAAGTCAAGAAAAATATTATATTTTTCTACTAGTCTAAGCATTTATTCCACGAGAAACTTGAGTTCCATGGAGGCAGATTTGAAGTTGTTCTACTTCCTGGCTTTCATTACACCAAACACACCGACCGCTGAATGCGTACAATTCTCCCACCATTTTTGAAGAAAATTGTCACTAAACACTTTTGATTGTTACGATGATTTCAAAAGAATTTTTGTGTCATACAATTGGATGAAACATTTCTATACTATAATAGTCGAGCTATTGATCATTGCTATGCTTCATTATTATTCGTTGCAAAGTAGAAGAAACATTAACAATCATAAAGTCTTATATGTTATCATCCTAAGCATTTATTTTTCCAATCGAAAAAGAGAAGAGATTATTCTTCACATAAAATTTGATATCATATGTGCTTAAAATGAATTCTTCTACGAATAGATAAATAATGGATCATATTCAAATTCGATTGAAGGTAGAGATAAATAATGGATAAGTAAGCATGTTCCAAATATGTATTAATATCAAATAGAGCTAAACCATGTTCTTTTTTTCATCAAGGAGTTGAGGTATCAAAATTGATATTAACATGGTCTTGCAACAAATATGTATGTGTTGGTGTATATATGTATATCAAGATCGAAATAGGTTTTAGAAAATGTTATATTTACATTATATTATGATAGTAAAAAGAGAAGTCAAAAAAGAAAAGAAAAGACTTCAATTCCAAAATTAAGAGCTTTAAAAATTAAGTGCAAACAAATGGAAGTTTTTCTTTTGAAGAGAAAAGAGTGACAAAATCTTCATTTTATTGGGGTTTCATTTCAAGCTCTCATTTCAGTTCCATTTCCTCCTATACAAAAGGGCTTTGATGCTGCCTTGTATTATTTATAGGCACAGGGAGTCACCCAGCTCTCAGTTCTGCCATCTCTCTCTCTCTCTCTCAACCTATGTGATACTGAGCTATGACGAGTCTCAGGGAGCAGGTAGTTTATGGTGATGGGTTCTGAGGAGATGGAGCAGGAGAGAGGAAGAGCGGTCGTGGAGGAGACCACCCACCTTCCCTCCTCTACTCTTTCTCTCACACCCACACAACTGCTTCCTCGGCCGGTGATGATGAGAGTCATCCACACTCGCCTCCCTTAGAAGAAGAAGAACAACAACAACAACGCTTGTCTGAGCGTGAGACATACAGTGCCTTCGTTTTCTGCGTTCCGCATCACTACCTCTGGCTTTTGCATCCTTCTACAAGACCAGACATGAAGAGAACGCTCGGTACCTCAGATAATTCTCTGATCCACAACTGCTCCTCCGGTACTTGTTGCCCAACTCTTCTTGCTTCTCAGATCTCTTTGTCATCGTGTATAAATCTCCAAAGGAAAAGAAGCGAGAGCTGATGACGTCTTGGTTAGCAGGAGAAGACCAGGAAGACGTGTATGGCGGAGACTTCCAACCGATCATGGAAGGGCTGGACGAAGACGACGGCGGCGGCGACGAGGAGCTGTGTGCCGCGACGACGGCAGGGGGAGGAGCGAAGAAGCGCCGGCTGAGCACGGAGCAGGTCAGAGCTCTGGAGAAGAACTTCGAGGTGGAGAACAAATTGGAACCGGAGCGCAAGGTGCGGCTGGCCAAGGAGCTCGGCCTTCAGCCCCGGCAGGTGGCCGTCTGGTTCCAGAACCGCCGAGCCCGGTGGAAGACCAAGCAGCTGGAGCACGACTACGCCGCCCTCAGGACCAGCTACGACGCGCTCCGCCTCGACTTCGACTCCCTCCACCGCGACAAGGAATCGTTGCTCTCGCAGGTGAACTGCGCAAACCATCCGGAAACCGATCCCGGACTTAATCGATTTGTTGTACGACGTGACATGAACCTGATCTCCTCATCTTCCACCACGGCGCAGATAGATGATCTGAAGGCGAAGTTGGCCGAAACCGAGGGCTTGAGCTTGAGCTTCTCTTCCTCGGCGAAAGAAGGGCCGGCGGTCCCCGAAACCGCAGCCAAAGCCCCGGAATCGGAGGACCCACCGGCTGCGATCTGCAAGGACGGATCGTCGTCCAGCGACTCGAGCGCCGTCGTGAACGACGCAGCCATAGCCAACGACGAGAACAGCCCTCAGTTGACCACAGCCTCCGATATGTTTTCGGCAGCGACGGCAGGGGCGTCCGGGGAACTCGGCAGCGATTCGTCCATGTTGCTGAATTCGGACTCGAGGCCGAGGTTCTTCTGTCAGCACCACGAGGTCTTGAAGATGGAAGAGGAAGAGCTCCTCTGTGAGCCCTGCTGCAGCTTCTTCTCCGACGAGCAAGCGGCGACGCTCAACTGGTACTACTCCGACCATTGGAACTGAGACTCTCGAGTGTGTGTAGGGGGGGGAGGAGCCGAGAATAATATCCAAAAATTGGAGGGTCTTTTCATAAAAGTTTTGTTAAATACGATTGTATGTACCACTCGCTTCAAATATTATATTTTGTAGAGCCAAAACAAAACAAAACAAAATCTTTGAGCCCTAAGAAGCGTGAGAACAGATGGGAGAAAAAGGAATTAAATATTAAAAAAAGAAGCAATTTTATTAGAAAATTATTAGGCAAAATGTTAATTAATTTGGATAATTTTAAATTTGGGTAAAGTAAACAAACCTCTTTAATCCTCATCAAAATATATGCAACCAATCACATGGGTCCTTTTTGTGAAGGGCAGTAAGTATCCTTCCCTCCCTACTCAATTAAATTAGTAGGTGTTGTGTGCTGCATGGTTTTGGTGACATTTGCCACCAACATAATTTCTCATGTCAATCCTGAAAAGAGAAATCAAATCTAAAACTCGTGTATCGTAAAACGATCGGGCGAATCAAGGCGTTCGCTGGCTCGGTGGAGCAGCCAACTCCGGCATTGCGACTTGGTTTGGAGGTTTCCGTGACGTGGCCTCGGGTGCAGTCAACAGCCCCCATTTGTTTGCATTCGGTGGTGGGACCAATTTGGGCATCTCGGCCACGCTACACACGGACAGAGGAGGCATTACCTTTCCCATTGGTCCTTGTCATCGTCTTTGAGTCACAAATAAATCAACGTGCCGTGGGCTCCACACGATGGGGATTTCAATGAGGATGGAAAAGTACTCCTCTGTTGATTAATGAAGATCTAATATATATATAACTCTCATTTTACAGTAATATCCAGCTAAACCATGAGACTTAGATCAAGTCGTCGAGTCCAATTTACTGCTATCTCAAAAATGTTTAAGTGTCGGAGGAGGCGTAACGGGCGAAATATCCCGATATGTTTGTGGGAAGAGAAGCACGAAAGAGACTGACCATCTCCTCCGCCCTCTCCGGCCTCGCCATTTTTCCTCGGCAGATTCTCCTGCGAAAGCTTGACAACAACACTGCCTTGTTTGGATGTGCGAGTCAGAGACACGCATTCAATGCAAGCTGTCATCGGCATGCCCTGTTGGTGGAATCACATGCTCCTCCTCCGTAGAGTTGCTGTCACCTCTCTCTCTCTGACCTGTGATCCTCTCTTCATCACTATTGTAAGAGGAATCTGCCTGCCTTGGTTCTCGGTGGTGAAGCATTTCGGAGCAAGGATAGCCAAGTAGATGATATTATAATAAATACTTAGAAGAGTCAAAGCAATAATATTTAATGTCTGAGGGAATAACCTATAGGTATATAATATAGCCATATAGCCATATAAGTTAATGAAATATATTTTTTTCACATTAAGAATTTAAGAGCAATCGGTCCATTTCAAGCTTACTTCTTAATGTTCATTTTAATGCACTAAGCAATAGATATGCTTCAAGGTAGTAACACTCTCTCAAGTGAATTCAACGGGCCTCGGCGCCGAGGTGGGACGAGCGCAGCCCACCTGATTAAAATCAGACACGATTGTATTGGATCTGAGCCCAACATAAGTCACGGGATGTGGTTCGATCGAACCAAATGAAGGAATCCCCTCTCTCACACGCAACTAAATCAATGGACACGCGTGCCATGAGAAGACTGCTGGAAACCTAATCGGCCACCGGCGGCAGCGTCTTCCTCTCCATCGGCGAATGGCGGCGGCAATGTCTTCCTCAAGCGGGCTGCATCGTCGGTATCTCTCCTCCTCCTCCTCCTTTGCCGTCGCCCACACTTCCCCAACCGCCTCCCTCCATCTTCCCGCCCCCACCTTCGCCGCCAGCGTCACCTCTTCTTCGCCTCGTCGTAGCCGTCTTCCCGCTTCCTCCATGCGCCGGCGTTTTCCCTTCTCCTCCCGACGTCGGCGTCTTCTTTCTGTGTCATCCTTTCACCCCCGCGGCCAGCGTCTTCTCCCCCTTCGCTTCGCTGCAGCCGCCCCAGCAACCCTCTCCCGTACCTCCTCCTCCCTCTCCTTCTCGTCGGATCCTTCATCCTTGCCCCCCTCCCAACTGACAGCAACCCCCTCTTCATCCTCCTCCTTCTACGTAAATTGTTTTATTAATATAGATTTGAACAAGCATTATTTGGTCCTTTAAATGAATACTATGTTTCTTTTTTTGTTTTAGCGATTATATCTATTAATCATGATGTATACTTTTAAAATTTTAAGAAGCATCTCTCTTCACTCGGGCCAGCGTCTCGGGCGTTTTGATACCTTGGCGGCGTTTTAACACCTTGGCGTCGTTTAATGTCTGTCGACCTCGAGCACACTGCTAGAGAAACAACTTGGTTCACATGTTTGGTTCCATTTAATTATTCGGACCCATGCATGTTGCCAAACTTTGTCGATGTTAGTTTTCATGCTTGGTCCTTTTATGTGCATATTTGAATTCATCTGAACCAAATTGAGCACATCACAGCTCCACAAAAAATCATTGAATTTGAGCTGCATTGGTTATATATGTATTCTAAAAATGTTATGAGATTCAAGTGAGATTGTCATGATTCAATTTTAACCTAAACATGTTTCAGCTGCATTCCCTCACATCAAGTTCTATGCTTAAACTAACCTGTCCGTGAGTCCCTCATGCATAAATGTCTGCCTGCATGTACACGTTTGATTGCATGCCATTATTTTATTATATCAATCTTTTGATCCCATTATTAATTTTTTGTTGCTTACCACATAAGTCGGTCGGTTCTCAAATGGTTATGAATGCCAAATAAGTTTGTAATATGACTTTTGATTATCGTTACCTATTTGTTGCTCAGACATAATAATACATGTGCAATTTAGTTATCAGATAAAACCACGCACATGGGAGCATTGCACATATTTCCTGTCTGTTTTTGGCTCTTGTGGTAACTTCATCAAATGCGTGCTGATTCTGGTGTCTTGCATTGAACCACAGTAATGAATTGTTGGACCTCCTTTCGCATGTATACTAATTATACATACAGAATGCATTTATATATTCAATTTTGAGGCTAAGAGATTGTCTATATTAATGGATTTGGAGAGGGCAGTTAGGTACTAGAAGCTATTAGGACCTGTCACTGTCTCTTAATGCTATCCTCTGTCACTAAAAGTACAAGCTGAGTGAACAATTAGAATGTGACATGATTTCCAAACCCCAAAATAGACCCAAAATCTCAATGTGTTTGGTTAGGTATAACCTTACATCTTTATGTCGGCATAATGTGGTCTCCTCTGCAGGCTGATAGTAACTCTCTTGGCAACTTGATACATGTTTGTACATCAAAGCATATCGGTGTGCTTATATTTGAATTACCATTCTTGTATTTATACTAGTAGCAATAGAAAAACATTTAAATGTTCTTAATTCAACCACAGGTGTTTTCTTACACAGAGTTCATTGACGCAAAAGATGCATATAGCTGATCATGAATAGTTACATTATGACTTTTATTGTTGTTGTGCTTGTTTGCACTTGCTGGTTTTATTGGAAAATTCTCACTGATCTAGGCTATGTTGGTGAAACTTCTCAATAAGAAATATTTTTTTCTTTATTAATGACATCAAGATATTTTCTAATACTGTAGCTGAAGCTATTTGCACGAGCAGTCTTTCTATAAAATTAAGTTCCTTTATCAACATAGAACCAAATAAACTAGTAGCATTTCTTGATCAAGGCAGCTTTCTTACCTCTTGGTTCATTTTTCAGAAAATTTGTTGCCTTTCTCAGGTCTTTCATCGAAGTTGTAATTTTTTGTCAAGTTGTATTAACAATGGCATCTTTAGCATGTTGAACCTCACAGGTAACTTTTTTGTTAATTTCTTAAACAGTGTATTTTCTAGTTACCTGTCTTTCTAGACTTGTAACTAGGTCATCTCTTTACATTCATGATGAAAAGGTTCAATTATTCTGCAAGTGCTCACTTGAAATGTTTCAGGTTTTAGTTGTAGTAGGACATTAGTGAATCTGATGTTAGATAAAACAGTATGCATCTTTGACTTAGTCTGAATTCTGAAGTACCCCTTGCAAGTCATTGACTGATGTTCAACCTATTAGTACAAACTTGAATATCATCCATATATGATCAACGTAATGAATGCCATTGCCACTCTTATGCAGCATGTTTGATGAAGATACATTTGATATGATTTTCTAATTGCTGCTGGGATATAGTGTGCTTCACAGTTTCTAAAGCTCCTAACTACAATAGAGAAATAATGGAAGGTAGTGTCAGTGCGCATGTGTCACATCAAGCCATTGTTTCAGTGGTGTAGAATTGCAAGGATGGAAGTGTGATAATAAGTAAATTATCCAAGGTATTCTTAATCAACTCTCATACACAATTTAGAGATTTATTTCTGAAAGAAATGGCTTATGGAAACTGAATGCAGGTGGATTAACATGAGTGGTAGAGGAATGTCGTCGGATCAGATGATTAGTTGAAAGTTTTCAACTTCCTTCTGGTTGGAAGCAGATACAGAAAATATATATAGTTTTGGTGCCCTCGATTTGAGGTAGAAGAGGAATCTGAACATAGAGCATCCAGCAATAAGACTACTTTTCTTGTATTTTTCTGCAAACAGTACGTGATACTGCTTCAAAAGATCATGTTTTTGGTGCAAAAGAGGCTCTTTTGCTATCTGCCAAGTAACAAGTCCACTATCCATCTTTCCTCCTATCAACTTTGCGGTCTGTTTAACTTCTCCACTGCTAAAGACCAAAGTTCAGAGCATAGTTCCAACTTTATAGTGGTCGACTCCCTTCATTCATGTGAACTTTCCTCAGAGAAGGCTGCAAAAAAAGCCAAGTATCACACCTGTCACAAAAATTCTTCGAGTCTTTCCATTGAGTTCTTTAAGCAGAGCGGTTGGAGTGATGCACAAGTCATGAAACTTATCCGGAAGTCACCGCTGTTGCTGCGTACTAAGGTAGAGACTGCCCTGAAGCCCAGAATGAGATCTTTGAAGGACATGGGATTTTCTGACACTGAAATAGTTCAGCTGGTTTCATCATGTCCATCTGTACTCCTTTTACGTGATATCCAACCAAAGATCGACTTCTGGAGGTCACTACTTGGTTCTAATGAGAGGTTACTGAATGCCTCTAGGAGGAACATGTTTCTACTTGGTTCTAGCATGGATCGGAAGATAGAACCTAATGTATCTCTCTTAAGGGAATGTGGCATCAGTGACAAACGCATCGTGTATATGGTGATGACAACGCCGGCCATTATGGGTCGATCAAACAAATATATGAAGGAAGCTATCAAATTAGTTAAGGAGTTGGGTGTGCCATGTAACTGTAGAATGTTCCCTTATGCACTTAGTATGGTCACCGGCATGAGCCGATCCAGGTTTTATGATACCTTTGCAACCCTGATGAACTTTGGGTTCTCCCTGCAAGACATCATAGCTGCATTCAGGAAGCATCCAACCATTTGGTATTTGTCGAAGAAGAACATATGTGACAAGATGACTTTCCTGTTGAAGGAAGCTGGTTGTGAGCTGACATATATCATTTCCCATCCTGTGATTCTTGCATACAGCTTGGAGAAGAGGTTGAAACCTCGATATGCAATTCTGAATTTTCTTGAGCAGAATAAATTGCTGGATAAAGTATATAGCCTGATGTCCGTGATAATGCTATCGGAAAAGAAGTTCCAAAATAAATTTCTTTTCCTGCTTCGCGAGGAGAAATCTATTGCTCTATATGATTCCTATTTGAAATCTGTTGCTCAATAGGATTCCTATGTTGCTGCTGGGCATGGAAAGCACCATGTTGTTTGGGAAAATTAGGATTGCATGTGCTTCCTCAGACAAAGTGTCAACTTATTGCACACTTATTTAATCATGTTAAATTTGTGACAATTTAAATTCTCCAAGGAGCTTCTTTTCTTTTATTCTTTGGTACAACAAAAGATACGGATTCTTTTATGCAGAAATATAGTGAACCAACGGGGAGAAGTCTTACTTAAGAAAGATATAAAGGTAACTAAAATGTTTCAACTCTGTCAGCTATCTGTGTCAACTTGGCATCAGTCGTATTAATTTAGATGATTAAGAACTTGTTAATTATGTGAGTATGAATAGGGACTAATATATGATAGTAAAGAGTTAATTGTGTGAGGGCTTTCTTTGTCAGAATCCCATCACCTCTCCACCGGCTCTAAATTACATCTCTATTTATATGGAATGAAACCTCTATTGTTACATGTTGTTAATCATGCACTAATATATGATAGTTAAGTGTGATTTATTGAAGATATCGATTTACTATATACTATTGTTGAAAAATGAACCCACGAGAGTAATACCTTTCGATTTATTGTTGGAGCGCACTAACGAATATTCAGTTATGCAAAGATGATTATTATAATATGATGATTGAATTTTGTGTATACTATGGTACATTAGTGCATGTGGCAATTATGAGATTTATTAGATAGTATCAACATGCACTATTGTAAGAGGCCCCGTGAGATCAACGTGCACTATTGTGAGATTTATTATATAGTATCAACTGTCACCTCTCTCTCCCTCTCTCTCTCTCTTTCTCAGCCCGTGACTGCATGCATGCATCCCAATATTCGTTCTAGTCATCGTTCTAGTCATATCCAGACATACTCACACATTAAGAATTTAAGAGTCATCGGTTCATCTCAAGCTTGCTTCTTAATGTTCAATTTAATGCACTAAGCAATAGATATGGTTTAAGGTAACAACACTCTCTCGAGTGAAGTGAACGGGTCTCGGCGCCCCCCTGATTCAAATCAGAGAGGACTATATTGGATCTGAGCACAACATAAGTCACTGGATCTGGTTCGATGGAACCAAATGAAGGACTCTCCTCTCTCACACACAACTATATCAATGGCCACGCGTCCAATGAGAAGACTCGTGGAAACCTAATCAGCCACCGGCGGCACCGTCTTCCTCTCCATCCGCGAATGGCGGCGGCAGCAATGTCTTCCTCAGCGGGCTCATCGTTGGTATCTTTCTCCTCCTCCTCCTCCTCCTCATCCTTTGCCGTCGCCCACTCTGCCCCAACCGCCTCCCTCCATCTTCCCGCCCCCACCTTCGCCGTAGCCCCCCCGCGACCGGCGTCTGCCCCTGCCTCTTCCTTTCCCCTCGTCGTAGCCGTCTTACCCCTTCCTTCCTGCGCCGGCGTTTTCCCTTCTCCTCCCTACGTCGGCGTCTTCTTTCATTGTATCATCCTTTCACCCCCGCAGCGTCTTCTCCCCCCTTCGCTTCGCTGCAGCCGCTTGATAAGACCCTAAGGTTTTATCAGGGAAAAAATTGGGAGAAAAGGGGACGATCACTTCGAGATGATCGGCCTCCTTGATCACTTCGAGGGGATCGTCGACGGGAACTTGTCTTCGTGCCCGGCACCCAGTGTGCAGCTGTTTGTTCAACATTCTAAAGTTTTTGTTTTTCTCATTTATCTCTTTTCTCTTATGCACGCAAAGTGTTCGCTGAATGGCTTTTAAAGCTTTTCTTTTTGTGGGACGTCGGGACTTGTCCGTTGTTTATTCTTCGAACTAATCAACTTTTTCTTATGCACGCAAGGTGTTCGCTGACCTTTGCGGACACATATCACAAGGGCACGTCATGACTTTGGCAATCCCAATTAAGTCCAAGAAGTTGACGCAACGGCGCTTTGCGACTTAGGCAACTCAAGCCAAATTTGTGTCTTGGCCGCAAGGGTGCCTCACGACTTAGGCAATTCCAGTTAAGTCCGTGACAAGGCGACGGTGAAGAAGGAGGCAACGAGGGTCACGGTTGGGATGTGTTGGCCGGGAGCAGTGGCGGTGGCGGTTGCTGGCCGAAGATGCAAGGCTGACCCTGTTTTGGTCGCCGCGAGGAGGAGAGGTCGAGCGGCTGCGGTTGCGATTGCGACCCAAGGGGGGGCGGGCGACGGTGGAGAAGGAGGCAGCGAGGTTCACGACTGGGAGGTGGGCGACGGTCATCGTTGGCCGGGAACTTGCTGTGGTGGAGAGGGGAAAGAGGGATGCTCTGTTTCTATCGCACCACAGCAGGAGCCACTGGCGATGTCGAAGGATCGCGAGCGGTTGAGGAGAAGGCTGGCAACGGTGGTGGCTCGGGTGGGAGGTGACGGGCGACGGTGGACTCTGGCCGGGGAGCGGGGCTGTGGTGGGATGGGACATTGGCAGCGTCGTCTCCTGGCAGCGGTGGTGGCTTGGGTGGGAGGCAACAGGCGATGGTGGACTCCGGCCGGGAAGCAGGGCGGTGGTGGTAGCGGCGGTGGGGTTGGTTGGAAGTAGGGAAAGTATGAGCCCTTTCCACCAGCGACAGTGGTGGAGGAGAGGGGAAGCAGGGGTTCTCGGTTGTGCGTGGCTGCGCCCCCTTTTTTTTTTTTTATGATAACTACAACGAGGACTCCGAGGATCGCTGCTCTGATACCAAATGATAAGACCCTAGGGTTTTATTATGGAAAAAAAGGGAGAAAAGGGGATGATCACTTCGAGGGGATCGACCTCCTAGGGTTTGTCAAAAGACTTAATAATATTTCATTGTCTCCGAAAAGAAACGATTACATCATTATTTATAGAGTTCCACTTAGAATCCATCACGACTTGGACTCTTAATAATAAATAAATATTAAATAAATTTCTATCCGATTCTAACTGAATTAAACATACTCAATAAACATTATTCAAAAGTTTAGAAAATAAAAAGGATCCTAACATCGCCCCAGCAACCCAACCGACATTGACAACCATTCTAACCCGTACCTCCTCCTCCTCCTCGGATCCTTCATCCTTGACCCCCTCCCAACTGACAACAACCCCCTCTTCATCCTCCTCCTTCTATGTAAATTGTTTTATTAATATAGATTTGAACAAGTATTATTTGGTCCTTTAAATGATTACCATGTTTCTTTTTTTGTTTTAGCGATTATATCTATTAATCATGATATATACTTTTAAAATTTTAAGAAGCATCTCTCTTCACTTGGGCCAGCGCCTAGCCAAGCACCTAGCATCTCAGGCGTTTTGACACTTTGGCGTCGTTTAGTGTCTCTCACCCGCGACCACACTGCTATAGCACAACTTGGTTCACTTGTTTGGTTCCATTTAATTATTCAGACCCATGCATGTTGCCACACTTGGTTGATGTTAGTTTTCATGCTTGGTCCTTTATGTGCATGTTTGAATTCATCTGAACCAAATTGAGCACATCACAGCTCCACAAAAAAATCATTGGATTTGAGCTGCATTGGTTATATATGTATTCTAAAAATGTTATGAGATTCAAGTGAGATTGTCTTGATTCAATTTTAACCTAAACATGTTTCAGCTGCATTCCCTCGCAACAAGTTCTATGCATAAACTAACCTGTCCATGAGTCCCTCATGCATAATGTCTGCCTGCATATACATGTTTGATTGCATGCCATTATCTTATTGTATCAATCTTTTGATCCTATTATTATTTTTTTTGTTGCTTACCACATAAGTCGGTTGGTTCTAAAATGGTTATGAATGGCAAAGAAGTTTGTAATATGACTTTTGTTTATCGTTACCTATTTGTTGCTCAGACATAATAATATATGTGCAATTTAGTTATCAGATAGAACCACACACATGGGAACATTGCACATATTTCTTGTCTGTTTTTGGCTCTTGTGGTAACTTCATCACATAAGTGCTGATTCCGGTGTCTTGCATTGAACCACAGTAATGAATTGCTGGACCTCCTTTCGCATGTATTTACTAATTATGCATACAGAATGCATTTATATATTTGATTTTGTGGCTAACGGATTGTCTATATTAATGGGATTTGGAGAGGGCAGTTAGGTACTAGAAGCTATTAGGAGCTGTCACTGTATCTTCATGCTATCCTCTTCACATCGAAGCTCTCATTTTTCTTTTTTGTTGTTGTACATGCCTCTGGATCGTTCATCAATCAATGTGATTTTGTATTTTGCTGTGCTTAGATTTTATTTTTCATTTTTTTCTTCTTTTCATTTCTTTGCTATGAGATGGTAGATTTGTGCCTTGGCGGTCATTATAAACTGTGGTTTCATTTTACATTTTGAAACATTAGTCATTTTGGCATCCAAAATAATTTTATGTGACATTTCAAATTTCCTATGACATCAATTACTTTGTTTTGTTCTTGAACATTGGTACAGTGACATGGTATAAGTGATCTTTTATACATGCTCATTTGGTGATCATTGTAACTCGTAAAGGAGGTCATGAAAATAATTTTGACTAATATTAGTTTAAATTTACTTTACTTGATTGTGGCCCAGATAATGTAATCAAATGTGGTGCTCGGCATTTGAAAATTTTCTTATTATACAATATCTCCAATGATGCGTATTTAGTGACAACTGAATTAATTTCTGGCTCTTGGATATGAGCTGGTTCAGAACTGACCTTAGATGGTGAATTTTTCAATCTCAGATGTTCAATGTTCTGAAAATGCATGCATGTCATTTACGAGCATTTACTTTGGAGAAACAGCAAGCAACAACATGCAAGTTAAATACTGTTTATTAAGATGGACAGCAGGAGAAGTGCTGCTTTTAGAGATAGAAAAGAGAATTGGAAAGTTTTTTGACAAAAAAAAAGCTTGGAAAAGATTGAACAAGAGATAGCAGAGACTGTAATTGTGTTACTGGCCAAAGAAAATTATATTCATTTGTCAATAGAATCATGCATACGTCTGGTGATTCCTCATGTGAAGGATTTTATTTATAAATATATCTGAGATAGTACTAATCTGATTAGGTTTCCCAAAAGAAGCCCTCTAAACAGCAGCTGCTTGCTTTGATAAAAGTGTTTGGTTCATCAAACCTCTTAGTTTCCTTATTATGCCTACCACCACAATTTCCTTTTCAAACACACCAAAACATTTCAACAATCATCAAAACCCCAAATGGTTCAAAGGACTTGACTCTCACTAAAAGTACAAGCTGAGCAAACAATTAGAATGTGACTTGATTTCCAAACCCCAAAGTAGACCCAAAATTTCAATGTGTTTGGTTAGGTGTAACCTTACATCTTTATGTCGGCATAGTGTGGTCTCCTCTGCAGGCTGATAACAACTCTCTTGGCAACTTGATACATGTTTGTACCTCAAAAGATATTGGTGTTCTTATATTTGAATTACCATTCCTGTATTTCTACTAGTAGCAATAGAAAAATATTTGAATTTTCTTAATTCAACCACAGATGTTTTCTTACACAGAATTCATTGATGCAAAGGATGCATATAGCGGATATGACTTTTATTATTGTTGTGCTTGTTTGCACTTGCTCGTTTTATTGGCAAATTCTCACAGATCTAGGTTATGTTGGTGAAACTTCTCAGTAAGAAATATTTCTTCCTTATTAATGACATCAAGGTATTTTTAATACTGTAGCTGAAGCTATTTGCACGAGCTGTCTTTCTCTAAAATTAAGTTCCTTTATCAACATTGAACCAAATAAACTAGTAGCCTTTCTTGATCGAGGCACCTTTCTTACCTCTTGGTTCATTTTATGGAAAATTTGTTGCCTTTCTCAGGTCTTTCAGCTAAGTTGCAATTTTTTGTCTAGTTGTATTAACAATGTCTTTTCTACTTACCAGTCTTTCTAGTTGTAGTAGGAATTAGTGATCTCTGAAAGAAATGGCTAATGGAAACTGAATGCAGGTGGGTTAACGTGAGTGGTAGACGAATGTCCTCTGATCAGATGATTAGTTGAAAGTTTTCAACTTCCTTTTGGTTGGAAGCAGATACAGAAAATATATTAGTTTGGGTGCCCTTGATTCGAGGTAGAAGAGGAAGCTGAACATAGAGCAGGCAGCAATAAGACTACTTTTCTTGTATTTTTCTGCAAACAGTACGTGATACTGCTTCAAAAGATCATGTTTTTGGTGCAAAAGAGGCTCTTTCGCTGTCTCCCAAGTAACAAGTCCACTATCCATCTTTCCTCCCATCAACTTTGCAATCTGTTTAACTTCTCCACTGCTAAAGACCAAAGTTCAGAGCATAGTTCCAACTTTATAGTGGTCGACTCCCTTCATTCATGTGAACTTTCCTCAGAGAAGGCTGCAAAAAAAGCCAAGTATCACACCTGTCACAAAAATTCTTCGAGTCTTTCCATTGAGTTCTTTAAGCAGAGCGGTTGGAGTGATGCACAAGTCATGAAACTTATCCAGAGGTCACCGCTGTTGCTGCGTACTAAGGTAGAGACTGTCCTGAAGCCCAGAATGAGATCTTTGAAGGACATGGGATTTTCTGACACTGAAATAGTTCAGCTGGTTTCTTCATGTCCATCTGTACTACTTATACGTGATATCCAACCAAAGATCAACTTCTGGAGGTCACTACTTTGTTCTAATGAGAGGTTACTGAAAGCCTCTAGGAGGAACTTGTTTCTACTTACTTCTAGCTTGGCTCGGAAGATAAAACCTAATATATCTCTCTTAAGGGAATGTGGCATCAGTGACAAACTCATCGCGAATATGGTGGTGACAGGGCCAGCCATTTTGGGTCGATCAAACAAATGTATGAAGGAAGCTATCAAATATGTTGAGGAGTTGGGTGTGCCACGTAACTGTAGAATGTTCCCTTATGCACTTAAAATAGTCGCTGGCATGAGCCGATCCAGGTTTGATGCTACCTTTGCAACCCTGATGAACTTTGGGTTCTCCCAGTCAGACATCATTGATGTATTCAGGAAGCAACCAACCGTTTGGGTTTTCTCAAAGAAGAACATTTGTGACAAGATGACTTTCCTGATGAAGGAAGCTGGTTGTGAGCTGACATATATCATTTCCCATCCTGCGATTCTTATATACAGCTTGGAGAAGAGGTTGAAACCTCGATATGAAATTCTGAATTTTCTTGAGCAGAATAAATTGCTGGATAAAGTAAATGGCCTGATAACCATGATAATGCTATCGGAAAAGAAGTTCCGAAATAAATTTCTTTTCCTGCTTCGCGAGGAGAAATATATTGCTCTATATGATTCCTATGTTGCTGCTGTGCATGGAAAGCGCCATGTTGTTGTGGAAAATTAGGATTGCAAGTGCTTCCTTAGACAAAGTGTGAACCTATTGCATACTGACTGTATTATTTAATCATGTAAAATTTGTGACAATTTAAATTCTCTAAGAGTTACTTCTTACGGTAGAACGTCCATGTTGATTTTGAGATTTCTTTTCTCTTTATTCTTCGGTACAACAAAAGATACTGATTCTTTAATGCATAAATATAGAGAACCAAGGGGGAGAAGTCATTATTTAAGAAAGAAACAAAGGTAACTAAAATATTTCAGATCTGTCGGTTGGTCAGTGTCCACTTCATTGAGAGCGAGTTAATTAGGAGAGTATGATTTGAAGATATCCTCCAACCCTTATAAATATGCATGTGATCAACGTGCTCTATTGTGAGATTTATTATTATAGTATCAACTGTCACCTCTCTCTCTGTCTCTCTCTCTCAGCCCGTGACTGCATGCATCCCAATATTCGTTCTAGTCATATCCAGACTCACACATTATGAATTTAAGAGCCATCGGTCCAACTCAAGCTTGCTTCTTAATGTTCAATTTAATGCACTAAGCAATATATATGCTTTAAGGTAACAACACTCTCTCGAGTGAAGTGAACGGGCCTCGGCGCCCACCTGATTCAAATCAGAGAGGACTATATTGGATCTGAGCCCAACATAAGTCACTGGATCTGGTTCGATGGAACCAAATGAAGGACTCTCCTCTCTCACACACAACTATATCGATGGCCACGCGTGCAATGAGAAGACTCGTGGAAACCTAATCAGCCACCGGCGGCACCGTCTTCCTCTCCATCGGCGAATGGCGGCGGCAGCAATGTCTTCCTCAGCGGGCTCATCGTTGGTATCTTTCTCCTCCTCCTCCTCCTCCTTTGCCGTCGCCCACTCTGCCCCAACCGCCTCCCTCCATCTTCCCGCCCACACATTCGCCGCCAGCGTCCCCTCTTCTTCGCCTCGTCGTAGCCGTCTTCCCCCTTCCTCCCTGCGCCGGCGTTTTCCCTTCTCCTCCCTACGTCGGCGTCTTCTTTCATTGTATCATCCTTTCACCCCCGCGGCCAGCGTCTTCTCCCCCCTTCGCTTCGCTGCAGCCGCCCCAGCAACCCAACCGACAAAGACAGCCACCTCAACCCACAGCAACCTTCTCCCGTACCTCCTCCTCCCTCTCCTTCTCCTCGGATCCTTCATCCTTGCCCCCCTCCCAACTGACAGCAACCCCTTCTTCATCCTTCTCCTTCTACGTAAATTGTTTTTTTGATATAGATTTGAACAAGTATTATTTGGTCCTTTAAATGAATACTATGTTTCTTTTTTTTGTTTTAGCGATTACATCTATTAATCATGATGTATACTTTTAAAATTTTAAGAAGCATCTCTCTTCACTCGGGCGTGGAAAGAAATGGCTAATGGAAACTGAATGCAGGTGGGCTAACGTGAGTGGTAGACGAATGTCCTCTGATCAGATGATTAGTTGAATGTTTTCAACTTCCTTTTGGTTGGAAGCAGATACAGAAAATATATTAGTTTGGGTGCCCCTGATTTGAGGTAGAAGAGGAAGCTGAACATAGAGCAGGCAGCAATAAGACTACTTTTCTTGTATTTTTCTGCAAACAGTACGTGATACTGCTTCAAAAGATCATGTTTTTGGTGCAAAAGAGGCTCTTTCGCTGTCTCCCAAGTAACAAGTCCACTATCCATCTTTCCTCCCATCAACTTTGCAGTCTGTTTAACTTCTCCACTGCTAAAGACCAAAGTTCAGAGCATAGTTCCAACTTTATTGTGGTCGACTCCCTTCATTCATGTGAACTTTCCTCAGAGAAGGCTGCAAAAAACTCCAAGTATCACACCTGTCACAAAAATTCTTCGAGTCTTACCATTGAGTTCTTTAAGCAGAGCGGTTGGAGTGATGCACAAGTCATGAAACTTATCCAGAAGTCACCGCGGTTGCTGCGTACTAAGGTAGAAACTGTCCTGAAGCCCAGAATGAGATCTTTGAAGGACATGGGATTTTCTGACACTGAAATAGTTCAGCTAGTTTCATCATGTCCATCTGTACTAATACGCGATATCCAACCGAAGATCAACTTCTGGAGGTCACTACTTGGTTCTAATGAGAGGTTACTGAAAGCCTCTAGGAGGAACATGTTTCTACTTACTTCTAGCTTGGCTCGGAAGATAGAACCTAATATATCTCTCTTAAGGGAATGTGGCATCAGTGACAAACGCATCGCGTATATGGTGGTGACAAAGCCGACCATTATTGGTCGATCAAACAAATATATAAAGGAAGCTATCAAATATGTTGAGGAGTTGGGTGTGCCATGTAACTGTAGAATGTTCCCTTATGCACTTAGTATAGTCACTGGCATGAGCCGATCCAGGTTTGATGATACCTTTGCAACCCTGATGAACTTTGGGTTATCCCGGCAAGACGTCATTGCTGTATTCAGGAAGCATCCAACCATTTGGGTTTTGTCAAAGAAGAACATATGTGACAAGATGACTTTCCTGATGAAGGAAGCTGGTTGTGAGCTGACATATATCGTTTCCCATCCTGTGTTTCTTGCATGCAGCTTGGAGAAGAGGTTGAAACCTCGATATGAAATTCTGAATTTTCTTGAGCAGAATAAATTGCTGGATAAAGTATATGGCCTGCTGTCCCTGATAACGTTATCTGAAAAGAAGTTCCGTAAGAAATTTCTTTTCCTGCTTCGTGAGGAGAAATCTATTGCTCTGTATGATTCCTATTTGAAATCTGTTGCTCTATAGGATTCCTATGTTGCTGCTGGGCATGGAAAGCACCATGTTGTTTGGGAAAATTAGGATTGCATGTGCTCCCTCAGACAAAGTGTGAACTTATTGCACACTTATTTAATCATGTTAAATTTGTGACAATTTAAATTCTCCAAGGAGCTTCTTTTTCTTTTGTTCTTTGGTACAACAAAAGATACGGATTCTTTTATGCAGAAATATGGAGAAGTCTTTACTCAAGAAAGATATAAAGGTAACTAAAATATTTCAACTCTGTCAGCTATCTGTGTCAACTTGGCATCAGTCATATTAATAAACTTCATGATTCTGTTGGAATATGTGAAGCTGATGACAGTGCTGTCATTTAGATGATTGAGATCTAGTTAATTATGAGAGTATGAATAAGGACACTTGAAGGTAGCCATTCCCAAATGTATGTATGACATTAAATGTATTTGATTTGAAAATATCCTCTAACCCTTATAAATAGTTGTAGTCATGATATATGAAATGTGCAGAGAGAAATATAGTTGTGTGAGGACTCTTCTTTGTCATAATCCCATCACCTCTCCACCGTCCCTAAATTATAAATCTCTATCTATATATGAGCCTCTCTTGTTACATGTTATTAATCTTTGAGTAGTATATGATAGTAGAGTGTGACTTGTTGAAGATATCGACTCACTATGCCATCCATAATATATATTCTAATACATGATTCATAACCTATGTTGTACAGTAAGTGGTGTCACTGGTTATGCTCGCTCATGATTTGTAGTACATATATAACTGATATATGAAAAGAATAAGAATTTTTTTAAAAATAATTTTAAAATATTTTTGCCATCCTTTTGAAGCATATCATGCTTGAGTGATACCTATTTTATCTCACATATGCATGTACATGTTTAATGCATGGTAAATGATTCATATTCCTATTGATACATTTATGGAATCATCATGTATATGTAGGTGCGTGCTTGATGCATGATCGACAGACATATGAGTTATCTACTTAGGTTGGTATAGAGATCATGGTTATACCCCCGTATGATAGAAGCTTTACGCCCATCATGCAATATGTAGCACTCATTGGGTCGAATACTTATTTCACTCTGCAAGTATGATCTATTGTCTTGTGATTATACGATTGATTGATTCAACTAACAATAGAATAATATGATCATATAATGGTATAGTTATGTAATGATATGTTACAAAATGGCATGCGAGTCTAATAAGATAAAAGAATCTGGATGATCCTTATCAATTATAGGAGGGCTACTACATTAAAGTGCAATTCTTTTTAGGGATTAGTAAGTCATTAGATGTAGTAATTAGATAATTTTTCTATCTATCGTTGGAAAATGAACTCAGTCCATCGGAATAATACCTTTCTATCTATCGTTGGAGTGCACTATCGGATATTCGGCTATATAAAGATGATTATTATAATATGCTTAGATGGTTAAATTTTATGTATACTATGGTACATCATGCGATAATTATGAGACTTATTATGTAGTTTATTTTTATTCGTTTATCGAAAGAAGTATCCATCAATGACAAATATGGATGAAGTACATAGATATGACTAACTATATTTGTCGATAATATCATATGCATTTTGTGATGTGAATATGAACATTAATTAATCAAATGATTTTATATTTTTATTTATTATTCTCTAACTTGTATATTATATACATAGTTAATTCATTATGAAAATGTTGTTATTATCTTTTCTCGAACACTATTGCCTAAGAGCATGTGTTTATCCAAAACTATTTTTACAGATTTCAGTAAAAAATATTTAAAAATAGTATGTTGATAGTTTCAAAGTTAACAAGCAAACAAAGTCGTTATCGGGGGAGTGAGATTATATTGAAACAATAAATATAAACAACTCTGTGTAATAAATTCATTTATAATAAGGAGTTATTTGTAAGATAAAAAAAATATTAAATTGTTTTTTTATTTTTCGATAGAAAAGACTTCATCTTTCTGGTTAGGTTAATTTTGTGAGCGAAGACGGCCGTGTTGTTGTCTACTCGTTCGGCCGCTCTCATTCGCCATCGATTTGGTCTCCAACTCGCGGCCCAAAACCCCGAGCCTCCCCGCGTTCCCTTACAATCTCGCTTCTCGGAAGAGCAACGGCAGCCAGGCGGCGGATGACTACCATGCTGCGAGAGTTGCGGCTGTCGCTGAACCAAACCCAGCGGGTGCGCCTTCAATCCGCTCTCCAGCGGCTCCAGGACATGGCTTCCCTCGCCTCCGCCGTTACCGTCGTCGCCGACACCATCCCCGTCAACCACGAAGACAGCATCCTTAAGTGTGTGCGCTTTCTGACCCATAAGAACCTTCGTTCTCTCTCTCTCTCTTCCTCCTCCATCTTCTTCTTGGTTTTCTCCACATCCTCCTCTCTCCTTGCGAACTGTTTTAATCATCTCCTTCGTCCTTCTTTTCCATGTTTCGGTGAAGATTTGCAGTCATTTTGTCTTCTGTTAATGGTCTTTTTGTTGCGGTCGTCCCTATTTATCTTACGCTTTCCTCCTATCTCATGGTTGCTCCTGAATTCGTGTGATGGTCAGGGGCCATGGGACGTCCGATCTCAACGGCGAAGTAGTGGCCACTCTCTGTGGTGTGGTTGAGCGAGTAAACAAACTGGTGTATGTCCGTGCTCAGAGAGCCAGGTACTGATACTGTGCCTTCCTCTTCTCCTAATTTTGCACTATTTCTGTTCTTGATGTTGTAATCCTTTATGCTTGTTAAATGTTCTGTTTAGTTGGTCAAGAATCATCATGCTGCATGACTTAGTCGATTGTATCCGTATATTTTCTTAATTCTCTTTTGTACTAATTTGCAAAAAATCCTTGATTCATAGACACCCAGGTCAAGTGCGTCAACTACAATAAGATTCTTTGTTTTTCCAATACTCCACTTATCAACCGCATTGATTTCTTTTAGCAGAAGAATTTGTTGTAACTAAAGTGCTGTATTGTCTCTCAGTGAGGACATCTGTTTAGTGACTAGATGATGCTGTCTTTCTTCCTCATATGATATGTTTGATTTGTTGTTTCATGACTTACAAATGAAAATTTATTTTCCTTGTAGGTACAAACCAGAGGTTGGAGATATAATCGTCGGCCGAGTCATTGAGGTCTTGTTGCTTTATGATAAATCTATATATACATTTCTTTTTGCTATCACATAAAATATATAAACAATTTATCATTATCTGAATTATAATAAGACAAAAAAAAATCTTATTTAAGATGGTTATCAGTGGATATTTGACTATCATAAAATTATAATATATGTGCAGTCAGCAGTAAATCGTCAATTGACTTAGCAACATGTCTTGTAATATTTCCTCTTTTCATTTTCATCTGTTATTTTGTTAAATGATTCTACATTGTGTCTTGTAGATTGCTCCAAAACGCTGGAGATTAGAGATAAATTTTAGTCAAGATGCAGTATTGATGCTTTCGTCAATGAATCTTCCAGATGGTATTCAGGTGAGATCAAATTCTTGTCTCCTCTTCAAGCTCTGAGCTCTTCATATATTGGAGAACAGAGGTTCTTATTTTTATATTTATTATATTGTGTCAGGTTATCACTACATAACCAATTATAAACAATTCAGAAGTTCTCGCATCTTGTATAACATGGATTTTATAATAGAGCTACTGTTGGTGCATGCTAAAAGAACTGTTTGTTGTACCTATGTTAGTAATTTCATCAAGAAAGTAATGTGCATCTGACTGCAGAATATCTGGGTGAGGAGCACCAAAAATTTCCCAATGTGGTATCTGACTCTAGATGATAAAATGATTATCTATAAAGCACCTGCAGCATATCTATATTTGAATGGTTTACTGTAACTTATCATTGTTCTTGGACAACATGGAAAGCACAGTGATGAATCTGTAAACCAATAAAAAGTACGGGAAGTGATGCCTTGCTGATTAGGATTTTTTTTTGGGAATTTGATTTGTTGTATAATGCATAGTCCTGATATTTGAAATCTAATAAACATCTTTAGGTGAAGTAGAGACAAAATATTTATATATGTCTTTACTTAATGCTACAATATGATTTATATTTTTTGACAATGAAAATTGAACTGTATATTTGCTGCCACAATAACTGTACACATGCATGCTTATTGTTGAATCTGTATTTATTGTACAATCTTGTGTTAGGCAGCTGATAGCTAGTGTAAGACTTACCTCCTTAGGCTTGGGGCCTTAACTCTTTTTTTTATTGTTGTTAATGTTTCTTGACACTATCATGTAATGTCATGGTGGCATCAGTTAAATAACTTCATAGCAACATTAACAATGAACACATTAATGAAGGGAAATTAGGTATAGGTAGCTTTTAAGGGAGGCGTGTCCTGAGGTAGTTTTATAAGACTGTCTTTGCCAGAAAAAAAAGCATGAACATGAAAAATCTTGCTAATAACTATGGTGTAATTGCTTGAGAGTGCAAATTATTTGTCACTAGAAAATACAGTTTTATAGATTGAAAAAAAAATTATTGCTTGATTTTGCCAAACTCCATTGAATCTATAGTGGCAAAGATTCTTAGTACTTTATATATCTTTTGTTTGCACCATTGATTTTAAGTCATCGAGTGTGTGTAAACAAATATAAAATATTATTGAGTTGTCTTTTTTTGGCATCTATATGAAACATAATAAATTTAATTTTATCTCAGTTTTAGGATCATCTTGGCATACACAAGGCTAGTTGTACATGTTTTAGAGAGGTGGGTTTTGCCAAAGATTGCTGACCATTGTTTACCGGTCTGATCAAGGACCTGTATTGGACCATATGGTTTGGTAATGGTTGGTAACCTGTTTTTGTTTACTTTTTCATACAATACTGGACAGTATGGGTCAACATACTACTCGGTGGTTTATGATGCGATACCAGTATGATAAATTACCGAAACTGATAGCATATCAAGTGTCATCCTTGCATTTTGCTTTCACTAGTGAGTAGGTAGATATATTTCATAGCATGGATGAAACTAAGATCACATTGTTTCATTGAGTAATTGAAAAAGGCTTGGAGAAATGGAGGTCTTACTATATTATGATAGATAAAGCAAAAAAAATGTAATTGTAAGAATAAAGAAGTCTAGAAAAAATAATGCATTATATATTCT